CTCTAACCAGTGTTGTGGTGACCTCTAACCAGTGTTGTTGTGACCTCTAACCAGTGTTGTGGTGACCTCTAACCAGTGTTGTGGTGACCTCTAACCAGTGGTGTTGTGACCTCTAACCAGTGTTGTTGTGACCTCTAACCAGTGTTGTGGTGACCTCTAACCAGTGTTGTTGTGACCTCTAACCAGTGTTGTGGTGACCTCTAACCAGTGTTGTGGTGACCTCTAACCAGTGGTGTTGTGACCTCTAACCAGTGTTGTGGTGACCTCTAACCAGTGTTGTGGTGACCTCTAACCAGTGTTGTGGTGACCTCTCACCAGTGGTGGTGTCACCAGTGTTGACCTGACTCCATATTAGTGTTTTCCTGGTATGACCTGACCTTCTTTCTGGATCCAACACCTTTATACGTCACTGCTAATTCTCAATCTGTCTGTGTCTGTTTGTACCTGTCTGTACCTGTCTGTGTCTGTCTGTCTCTCAGTGAGACGGTGTTCAAAAGCGCGCGGCTGGACTGGAAAGCTTCCGGCTCAGTACTGCTGCTGGCGGATGTGATCAACCATCACCAGATTATAATTTCATAACACACTAATAACCGTGTCCTTGACCGTCATTTCAAAGAACCTGCGATACTGGAAGTAGTCTTGAACGGTTCATCACCACCTTGTTCTTGGAGGCAGGAGTCCCTGGTCCTGGAAGGGTCTTACACCTCTGGAACTGAGCTGTAATCTTCCAGCAGATCTTCCAGCAATGAAGGTGAGTCCAGTTCTGAACTTTGAGTAAACAAAACACTTGTTGTCCTACGTTTTAAGAAGCTCTTGGGGCCTGGAGGGGGGGAAGGGGATTAATGAGTCAATGGGTCGTTAATAGTGAGGCTTTTTACACTCTAAGAGTCGTTAAGTAGATGACATTTCCCGCCCAAAAGAGGTATAAATTTCTGGCAAAAAATGGGAATATTTGAGTCTCTGGTGAAGACCGCCAACAGCGGTGGGGGTGGTGACGTCACAGTGCAAGATCAATGATAGGTTCCAGTACTAAATCTCGCAAAGTCTCTTACAAACCAGCGGACGGCCACTCACTCGCGATAATATCGTCTTTATTACACGGGGAATTTGTTGAGTAAACTCACAGCAGCAGCAGCAGCAGCAGCAGCAGCAGCAGCAGCAGCAGCAGCAGCAGGAGCAGATGGTACACAATAGTCGTGAAAATAATGCAAGTTTTGGGGGGTCTTGGCGAAGGCCTGTTTGTTCACCCCAAAAAAGTTCTGCTTGACAAGAATGAATTGAAAGGATAAACTTGAGACTATTTGTATCTTGTAAGAATATATGTTTATATCGCGCATATATATATATATATATATATATATATATATATATATATATATATATATATATATATATATATATATATATATACATATATATATATATATATATATATATATATATATATTGGTAGCCGTCTTTCCTGTAAACATATATTATTACATATGACCGAAAAAGTAAGATTAATAATTCTAACATGAATTTTCTAAATATTTCTTATGTTTCTTTTTACTGTCGATGGTAATTGAAAAATCAATTCTCCAAAATTCATTTTTATTTCTAGTCTGACGCGACACTTGAACGCGTTTCGTAATAACTTATTACATTTTCAAAGACTTTAGTTTACACACACAACTGTAACCTGAAAACACTAAACAGAGTTTTACTTATACTAACACTAAACAGCTTATCCGTCTTACATATGCTCACACTTGAGTGAAGTGATATGGTGCAACAGTTTTGGATGAGGTGAACAAACTTGTTACAAAATACAAGACAGAACACAAAACAATGGGTATTAGTTGGATATGAGAGCATAAGAATGCCGAGGGGATATTGGTGCCTGTTCGATGGTACCCATGTAGAAGTTCGCAAACAGGACACCTAGGGGAGAACCCATGGCGACCCCAACTACTTGCTTATACATGTTTATGCTACTTGCTTATACAAAGGAGCGGAATTCTGTGTTGTTTCACTTACGAGATGGAGAAGGATGGGAAGCTGCTCTTTCTGGATGTAACAGTCATGGAAAGGAGTAGAGGCTTCCACACTGCAGTCTACACTAAAGAAACGAACATAGGAATGTGCCTCAATGCCAATAGTGACTGCCCGGACAGGTACAAGAGGAGTGTTGTCAACGCTTACGTCGACCGTGCTCTCAGCCACAGCTCAGAATGGAAGCAAGTCGATGAAGAACTCTGTAGGGTAAGGCAGGTCCTAGTCAACAACGGCTTCTCTAACGGTTTTGTTGAAGACATCATCAAAAGAAAGATGAAACGCCATGCAACCTCTGAAGAGTCGACTAACACAACACTTGTACTCCCTATTAAACTATTTTACAGGAACTTCTTCTCGACAGCTCATAAAACGGAGGAAAGGGTCCTGAAAGACATTGCTGATAAGAACGTTATCCCTACAGACAAAAAACAGAAAATACTATTGACGATTTACTATAAAACCAAAAAAACGGCCAACCTACTCATGAAAAACTCTCCAGACACGAAGCAGAACGCCTTGAAGGAAACCAACGTTGTCCATGCCTTCAAATGTCCACTTGGGGACTGTAAGCCCCAAAGAACTTAGTATATAGGCAAGACAACAACGTCTCTTTCCAGGCGATTAACAATGTATAAACAACAGGACTCCATCAAGGAACATATAATCCCTTCTCACCATAGAAGGGAGCCGGTCGGCCGAGCGGACAGCACACTGGACTTGTGATCCTGTGGTCCCGGGTTCGATCCCGGGCGCCGGCGAGAAACAATGGGCAGAGTTTCTTTCACCCTATGCCCCTGTTACCTAGCAGTAAAATAGGTACCTGGGTGTTAGTCAGCTGTCACGGGCTGCTTCCGGGGGTGGAGGCCTGGTCGAGGACCGGGCCGCAGGGACACTAAAGCCCCGAAATCATCTCAAGATAACCTCAAGATAACCTGGTACCAGGAGGCACTGGTGGCACCAAGTGTGGGGAAACTCTTCCAACATTTAATTTAATATAATCATAAATTAATTAATTAATCTAGATAAACATTAGAGATGTTGACTGAATAAATTTGAATCGTTAGTTAGAATATTTCCACTTCACACCTTTTTGGAGGATAGAAATAATAATGCTAGAAATACCTAATGAATATAATATGTTGAGTAATTTCAATAATAAATTTAATCAATAAAGCAGAGTTATAGTGTTAGTAGACTAACTACAATATTATAACTAAGTAATCATCTACTTAGACGTCGAGCAGTTATTGAGAAGTGTGTCAGACAGCCTGCTGTAATCAGTCTAATAGAGTCTCGATGTGATGGCGTCGTGGACACGTAACTCACCAGTCAAGACGATCCTCTCTCGTAGATATAACTCCACACTGTGTACTCACCTAATTGTGCTTGCGGGGGTTGAGCTCTGGCTCTTTGGTCCCGCCTGGAAAGCATACAATGTGGAAAGCATACAATGTAATTTCTATATAACTACGAGTATATCAACTAATTTCCATTGAAAGGGGTCGACTGAATTATATAAATACACTTACTAGGGTTTTTTGTTAATCCTACGTCCTAACCACCGGACAATCGAGCACAATAATATATGGCAATAAATAATGATTCGACTGGACGTGGTGTCCTCAGTGTTAGATGAAGCAGGCAGCAACGTCTGGGACTCATTAATGCACGGATGATCCCTATTTTTTGCGAAGCTAATGGCTAGCTTCTGGACACCTATCAAAGATGGCGTCTACTCAGCAAGGACTCTGAGCAAGTGACGTGCGTGTCCCCCTCGTTCCTGTCTGTACAACCTCGGTGTACAAATCACGATACATTATTCTGTTTTACTATCTAATAAGACGTTGCTACGTTATTTTACGCCATAATAATGCACTTCAGGTGTCAACAGACGGGTTTTCGCTGTTTATTGAACCGAAGAGTCATTAGATAAAACAGATAATATTCAGTTTGTGACTTTTATCCAGACAGAATCAGCTAATCGCAGCTGTGGAAAATTCTGTCCAGAAATGGGACTTCCAATCTATATTACCTAGTAAGTTAAACAAAGGTTAGACTGGGTTAAATTCGATTTAGATAAATAGTTTATTCACGTGGGAACTGGGCGGCTGATGCAATAGCGGCCACGAATAATAGTAACAATTTGGCGTCACTACGCTGCCTGTTAGTAAGTTTAATTTCCTAACACAATAAATTTATCTTATCGTACTAGGGTTTAGTATTTGGGGTGTCGGAAGTTTCCGACACTAAGAGGCACTAGTGGCAGCAGGAGGTCAGGTCGTCGCTTGTGGTGGTCAGGTCGTCGCTTGTGGTGGTCAGGTCGTAGTTTGTGGGGGATAGTGTGTCGCTTGTGGAGGATGGTCTGTCGCTTGTGGGGGATAGTGTGTAGTTTGTGGGGGATAGTGTGTAGTTTGTGGGGGATAGTGTGTCACTTGTGGGGGATAGTGTGTCGCTTGTGGGGGATAGTGTGTCGCTTGTGGGGGATAGTGTGTCGTTTGTGGGGGATAGTGTGTCGCTTGTGGGGGATAGTGTGTCGCTTGTGGGGGATAGTGTGTCGCTTGTGGGGGTTAGTGTGTCGTTTGTGGGGGATAGTGTGTCGCTTGTGGGGGATAGTGTGTCACTTGTGGGGGATAGTGTGTCACTTGTGGGGGATGGTCTGTCGCTTGTGGGGGATAGTGTGTAGTTTGTGGGGGATAGTGTGTAGTTTGTGGGGGATAGTGTGTCACTTGTGGGGGATAGTGTGTAGTTTGTGGGGGATAGTGTGTAGTTTGTGGGGGATAGTGTGTCGCTTGTGGGGGATAGTGTGTCGCTTGTGGGGGATAGTGTGTCGCTTGTGGGGGATAGTGTGTCGCTTGTGGGGGATAGTGTGTCGCTTGTGGGGGATAGTGTGTCGCTTGTGGGGGATAGTGTGTCGTTTGTGGGGGATAGTGTGTAGTTTGTGGGGGATAGTGTGTAGTTTGTGGGGGATAGTGTGTCACTTGTGGGGGATAGTGTGTCGCTTGTGGGGGATAGTGTGTCGCTTGTGGGGGATAGTGTGTCGCTTGTGGGGGATAGTGTGTCGCTTGTGGGGGATAGTGTGTCGCTTGTGGGGGATAGTGTGTCGCTTGTGGGGGATAGTGTGTCGCTTGTGGGGGATAGTGTGTCGCTTGTGGGGGATAGTGTGTCGCTTGTGGGGGATAGTGTGTCGCTTGTGGGGGATAGTGTGTCGCTTGTGGGGGATAGTGTGTCGTTTGTCGGGGATAGTGTGTCGCTTGTGGGGGATAGTGTGTCGCTTGTGGGGGATAGTGTGTCGCTTGTGGTGGTCAGGACGTCGTTTGTGGTAGGTTGGGCGTAGTTTGTGGGGGATAGTGTGTCGTTTGTGGGGGATAAAGCGAGGTTTGTGGGGGGGATAGGGCGGGACACAGTGGATAGGTTAATGTCTGGTGTTGAGCTTCCAGTGAAACTCTCCTTTAAAGGTGGACTGGCTTTTATCCCTCACTCTTCTCCCCTCCTCTTCCCTCCCCCCCTCTTCCTCCTCCTTCCCTCTTCCCTCCTCCTCGTCCCCCCTCCCCTCCTCCTCGTCCCCCCTCCCCCTTTCCTCACCTCTAATCTTCTTCTCTCATTACCCATTCTCCATGGACACTCATTTCCCTTTTCCTTAATTTCCTCTCTCTCTCTTCCTCTCCCTCTACCTCCCACTCCCTCTCTGTCCTTCTCTCTCCCTCACTTTCCCCT